CTTTTAATCTGCGCTATCAGTAAAATTGTAAATGATCTCTAGAAAGAAATTCCTTGCACTAGATCACCTGATATCTTTCTCGAAATTCTTTTTCAAGAACTTGTCGCCAAAGATTGACTTCATTTATTGTAATTTTATTACTATTACGTAACATGTAAACCGCGACAATATAATTATATATATCTGACAAACTGTGCACGTTCTTACAATTAAGAACTGAGATGTTTTGAAACTGGGTCACAACAAGTAGATGTGAGCTGTGGCATTATTGCATGTACAGGGACTGCAGCTCTAAATTTACCATCCAAGACAGTAGCTTTCAGTTCAACATTTCAGTGCGGGTAAGATTTCAAAATGAAATGTCATCTTATAAATAACCGACTGAGGGTACCTTTCTTGGGGGTTCCCTGCTTCGTCTACTCACTGTCAGGTGTAAAGTTACCATTAGATCAATTCTTTTACCCACGTCAGCCTGCCTACGTGTAGTCTCGTGGGCAGATTTCAGCAGCCACCTTATGGTAACTTCATCTTGTCGCCGCAGAGATTGCAGCCAGGTCACATCCGCCAAATGTGTCAAAACATGAACACTGTTGGGGGGAATCAGTGCGCTCAAGGGTGCACCAAGGAACCTATCGCGAATAGACTGTTTACAGCCTTCCTACTTACAATGCAAATACAGAATAAGAACGGGAGAGAAATAATTCTCTCGTAATTGTTTTGCTCACTGAACGACCGAAGATAACTACGAGAATATAGAGTTATCTGATTAGTCTATATCAAAGACTTCTGCTTTAACTTTGCCATTATCCCACAAAGTTATATATCGCAAATTTTAGGCGACTTTAGGAGATTACTTCAGCATTTGGTGAGAAAATTTTGCTTCAACTTTCTCTTCCTTCCATAAGTGTATCTTCATGATCCCAGATGTACCGCGGCACGGCGCGATTGACACTCCCCTACTAAAAAAAGATCTTTTAATGGCAACGTTTGACTTATGTGCCTGTAGCTACTTGTCTTAGTGGTTAAAAACAACGGAATCGTAAAGCTACCGACATGGCTTCGTGGGCTAATAACCCAGGTATTCTTCGCCCTCAAAATGAATTGCATTTAAAACGCCTGCGTGTAAAGACACACTGGATTAAAACTTAATTTTCACCGGAAGTTTTCAATCAGTGACGTATGCCGTGGTGTCTGAGTAGTTCTGCAGTTTCAGTGCAGTCTGTTATCAATCGCGACGGGGATGACTCGTGACAACTTCAAGTGGTCTATCGATTGTCTGTTTTGTTGAGACGTTCATTGTAAAGCACGGTCATTTATAATCTTCAAAGTGACAGTTCGATATAAAGCTTGAACCCTATAAATCGGAGGCCAATCGATTTTCTATCAGTTTACCTTGGATTAAGAGCAAGAAATCTCCAGTTTTCAAGAGGAGAGACTTCCTCAGAAAAGGTATTTATGCAATAGTCAGGTGCGACGTCTTTGAGCGTATGTCTGTGTGTCTCTTTTCATACCATGCATGTGATGACAATCAGCATAACAAATCGATCGATGTAAACACCCGCAAATCTTGTCCTATTGGGCTTGAGTTTCTATGTGTTCATGCTGTTTTCGCGATACTTAAAGAGAGATCTCTCCTTAATCGATGGCATTTAGCGCGCTGCTGTCCAAGTTATTGCTTCAAGGTTGTAACCGGCTCACTCGATTTCGAACTTAAATAGCGAAGCTTAAACGGGCTCTTAAAATCTCAACCAAACATTTAACGGGATCGACACTTTCTAATTTCGACCATATGGCTGTGTAGCCCTCAGTCCCAGTCATGTCACGGGAAAAACATATTTTGTCTCTCAGATGTTGCTAGTGCAGGATAAGGCAAGGCCATACCGTCCATAATAACTAAGATTTTATCTTCTTCGCTCTGTCGCATGGAGATCCTGTCCTAAGTAAATGATACGAAATGTTTCTAATGACACTTGAACTCTATCGGTCTCTGTAGCTTTTCGCGGTTATCCTCACGCGCTGCGTTATACTTGCTGAATGTCCTTGCATTCAGTGAGTGTGCACAGAAAAAAAAAAAGAGGTTGTATAGGCCTTCGCTGACGAGAGGGGTGTCTGGCGGGTGAGGAAGTTACGTTCAGCGAGAATAAATGGCTCATTAATTAAAAACTTGTTAAAATGCAACATGATATGAACACTGAAATATCCGACATCATGTGATGCACGCGAGACGGCACGTGTGTCCTATGTACAAAAAATAATAATAATAATAATAATAGTAATAACAAGAATAAATGACTAAAACTAAAAAAATAATAAATTCTTGAGAGGTTGCATCAGTGACATTTTAGCTGCCGACAGGTTTGTGTATCAGGGTAGCGTCAGGGCAGTTTACGCCAGACAGGGACACTGAACAACGATACTCAGGAATGCAAGGAAGCGATGGCATTTTAACCTCGTAGTTCTCGTCAAAGAAGTTCAGTAAGTTCCACTAGCTAATTAGGCGTGTTTTTCCAATGGTCGGACATCGACTGCAAAGGAAATCTTTGAATTATTTTTTGGATTTCATGTCAGGAAAAAGGAAAACAAAAAATGATATCCAAAAATATATATGGACTGAACTGAGCTGAAAAACCGGTAGTTTTGGAATCTATTCTTAGCCCGCTCATCCGCACACGAACAAATTTTTCCTTTGTCAGAAAAAACTGCCACAGAAATGAAAATGGCCAGTTCGTGGGCTTGCCTGATCCTTATTACCTTCATGTGAAACGTCACAGTAAAAGATTCGCAAGGCTTCATTTCGATTTCGAGACGGTTAGGTGGTAACGAGGTACGCGTCAAACCAACGAGGAAGGCCTGGGGACGAGGCACCTTTTGCTGTACGTTGAAGTAGAGAGCCTTACCAGATTTGGTACAAGTATTCTAAGCATTCTCAATATGGATGATCAAGAATTTATGATCATAGTCTCTTGGGATGATCTAATCTGGAGGTCGTTTAAAGAATTATCTTTACCTCGTGTGGTCCCCCATTTCCTCTCTTGTGCTATCTGTTTAGAGGGAAATCAAACGCTCCAAGTATACTTTAGAGTTAATACTTTCCTTCTTCTAAAATCAGTGCTATGTGGCGTACCCATGATAGCTGAATATGCCTAGAGATTAGATTACTAGCAGATAAGCCGATTCGTGGCTTGTACTGGGAAATGTTTTTACATATTGCATACGAGCCAAGTGGCCCATCAGACCAGCGCTCATCTCCGGTTTCTGTAGCATGAAGCGTCTAGGAGTATTTCTACTCCCCCGTGGTCTATTGCAAGGTTTCTCCCAGCATTACATTCCCTTGTACCCAGTTATACACCTGGGTGGAGAAAGGCACTGTGATAGTAAAGCGTCTTGCCCAAAATGAACACAGCACAATATTCCCGGCCAGGACTCGAACCCGGACCGCAAGATACGGAGTCAAGCGCACTAACCGTGAGACCAGCGCGCCTCCCACGTGTTATTGTGTATACAACTGTTCAGTCGTCGGGTTTCTTTTCTAGCTTTAACAAAAGGAACGTGCTACCGCGGGGCGGGTGGACTCAACGGGGTATCTAGATGCTATGTTAAACGTGTGCCATGTGTTCAGCCCAATAAGCATAACGTTACGTGCAATGAAGTTTAGTCGATATATACTTTTGTAAAATTGTGTTCGACGATTACGATTGTGTCGCATTCGTAACATGGTGCTCGATGATGGTGCAGAGCATTAACTCATTTCCTGCCCGGTGTTTATCCAACATTGAACGATAATTTTTACCATTCCCTGAACAAAAAAGCACTGAAAGTTCTCTTTTCAAATACTGGAAAACCTCTTGGTGGGATGGGGGTAGAGGCTGAGGCGGGGAAGGGTGGGGGTTAAATCATCACTCATTGCTGATTGCTATGCGTGGTGGTGTCGTAGAGCCTCATTTTTCGCCAACCTTTCTTTTCATTGTTTATTATATAAAAGATGTAATAGATGTCAGTCTTTATACTCTAAGATACTTTGAAACTGGGTTTTTCTTTTTTTAAAGTGGTGACTAACAGATCTGTTTTGGGCATCAGCTAGCTTCCAACATAATAGCCTCTCTTAGCCTTAATAAAGAAACCTCCAAATTTGAAACACGAACGCGATAAACTGGCCTAACTCGTCATGACTCTCGCTTACAGCCCGTGACCAGCATCTGTGAGGTCATGGGTCCGAATCCCGCTAGCGACTCAAGTTTTTCTTTGTCCAAAGCCCGTGACATTATGAACATTCCATCTGTTTCATTTATCCACTAAACTGGAAATTTTCTCTTCCTTTATATATAGCAAAAATCATGTCGGGTTGTTCGACTCTATTTAAACTTACGAAGGAGCCCCACCCCTTCAAACGAAATCATCTATAGTTGATGTATAGTTGTTTCTTGTTATGTTGCAGATTATTCAGTTTAGATGCATACTGAACCAGGACGACCCGCGCCATCTAAGCTATCAAGGTGGCCGCCACAGAAGAGGCGGAAAAGGCGAAAGAGAGCTAAACAAGGCTTAGCAACGCGCCTAAGGTATACTGTCCAAGTCTCCTTTAATTTTAATGAATCACTATCAGGCGATGACAAATTATTGATCTTTTGATAAAACTACAAAACTCTCCGAATTATTACACAATTAATCTGAAACCTAAAGGAGTGTGCAGTCTACGGTATTCTTTGTTTAGCCCACGGCTGTCGTTGTTAATTTTCTGATGAGCTTTTCAATAAAAGACTTGTTTACTTTTACTCACCCTTTACTTGTGAAACAACAATTGTGTTACAGTTCATTGCTCGACAAAGGAGCCCGCTTTCCCAAGATATTCAAATGTTGGATCTTTTGCTCTGGCATGTTGTCACAAGTCTGTTAGTTTTGGCTCAAAAAGAGAAATAAAACGCGAACGAAAAAAAAAATCGCATTTCTTAAATTGCCTTTGTAAATTGAGCTGCAGAAGATCTTTTTAAGACAGCGGGAAACACAAGATTATGACCGTCAAACTGACGTTATTTTGCATGAGAAACTTTCTTTTTTCACAGTTTTTGTGGAGTAAAAAGAAGGATTAGTGAGCCAGGAATCGAAAGATTAGTTTCTTTTGCCTTTACCAGTAAAAATCATCCATGAAATTCTGCATGCTTGTTCATTTCCGGACGGTGAATGTGTGACAATTCAATTTCCGGAGCAGAAAGCTTGTGTGGATTTAGTATCGAAATGGAGCGATTAGTGTCATTTGTGACTTTTGTTTGCCTTCGAACACATAATTTCCTTTATTTTCACTTGAAGTAAAATCTGTCGCCAACTTCAGTTGGCAGCTGGAAGTTTTTTTTTCGCGAAATTAGTTCATTTAGAGGTCTCCGCGCAGTCGTTTTTCCTTTTGCCGATTGTTATTTCGGCCAGCGGAAGATTTTTCGGCTTCACTCGGCGGGCGGCCGATTGTTTTCGTTTGGAGTATGGCGGACGATTTGTTTTCAAGGGACGAAACAACATGAAAGAATTTGGAGCTTGTGGTTGAAATATGTACGTTGGCCGTTATCATGATTACGAAAGATATGAAGACGAGTCTTCGGAGGAAGAATGCGAACACTGTTCGAGACAGAACGTTCATTTTCGAGATGAGGACAACCTCTTGTCAAGACCTCTGTAAGCGCAAATTGCAGAAATATTTAGACTTGTAATTGTTTGAAACGATACCATGCCATACCGTGAGTTTGCACTGCAGTTTTGCCGTTAATTACAGCATTTTAAAAGATTCAGTGACTTCATAGTCAGTCATATTGGTTTTATATTGTTTGACTCTCTTTTCCCGGGGAAAATTTGAATTGACTCTCTTTTACTAATGATGTTTTGTGTGATGTTCGATCAATTCGAAACTGCTTAGAGGAATGCGGTGTGCATTTCTTATAATTTGCGCACATGACGGGTAGAATTGGGACATTACTTAAAAATCCATCATCATTATCGCTAAATTTCAAAGTACAGCTATGGAAAGAATCAAATCAAAAAGTTAAAACAGTAAAAATCTTACGTTTATCTTTCGCAGTTAAAGAATGGCGAATGTACGTGTTGCACATATCTGCCGTGTTTTCTTGAAACATCAGGGCAAAAAAACACAACTCTAGCCAAGCACACAGGCGCTAATTGCTCTAGATAACGATCTTTTGGCTTGTTTGCGTGAAATTTATGTAGATTTGCAGTGAGTGTATACGTAGTAGTCCTTCAAAGTCACTTGACTTGATCGAAGTATTTCGCATATTTTCAGATACGAAGAGCCGCCTTGGGCCGGCCACATTAAAGAAAAAGGCGATGTATTTTACATTGAACCATTTGACGAACCAACTCCCAACGACATGGTGGACTCACTGGAACAATTAGACATCTCGGGGAACGATTCCCAAGGCGATGGAGAAAAAGACAAGGCGAAACCGGTGCTTAGGAATTTTAGCTCGATGAAGAAAATTATTCCAGGATTGAAGCGAGATAGAGTTGACGACAAGAGAAATAATGAGAGAAACTTAAAACATTCAAGCCCTACAGCTCACAGAGCTGTGGATGGGCTTGTTGATGGTAGCAAAATGGCTGGTAGATTTTTCAAGAGAGAGGTGCAACTTATTGTGACCCCTCCAAAGGGCCATTCAGGATTTAAGAATGACTTGGAGACTTTACTTGGTATTATTCCCGGAAGAGACAAAGCTGGTAAGCTGTCACAGAATGACAGCTACTCTGGATCAAGGCTGTATGTCAAAGGATTTGTACCTGATGGACCTGCTTTGCGAAGTGGAGATCTTAGAATAGGTATGGTTGTATTAACTACATACCAAGAGCCATTTGTACAGATAGACGTGCAGTAAGCTTACTTGTTTAATTTCTTATTCACTGCAGACGTGTACGTGTAGGCCTGTGCTGATGCAATTGTGGTAAATCTGTGCTGTTGTATGTGCTATTGTCCATAATTAACAGATTTTGCTTGGGAAACAGCTACATACATGTACCTTTCACTATTGAGCAGTTGCAACACAGCATGACAACCTGCATATTATGTAATAAATCATTTTCTTCATTCGTGCTCAATTTAATACATTTTTCTGATTGGCTGAGTAAAACTGGATACTCCTTATGGTCAAACAGGCATCTCTCTTTGTTTGGAAGCCCAAAGTCGCCCCTTCTCTTTCCTGTGAGATGTGTCACAAAGAATTCTTCATGGTAGAGAGGGTAGTTCTATAGTGATTTATGTAACATGGGTAACATCTCTAATTGATTAAGGCTGGATTTTTGAATTTGCCCACATGCAAGTACAGTAAGAACTTTTATTACATGAGTTAACCAATGAAATACCAGGTAAACTTTTGTGGGAAAACATGATATCTTCACACGTGAAAATATCATGTTATCTTCACATGTCAAAAGGTCACTGTTGCTATGGTTACACATAATATTCTATATAGAACATTACATGGCCACTTGGAGAGACACTAAATTTCTCATCTTGTGTTGAAAAATATTTGACTCATTTGCTGCGCCCACTTGTGAAACATTCTTTAACACTTGAAGAGAAATTTTTTTCTCTATGCAGCCATGTAATATCTTCTATTTGTTATGTCTGGCATTAAGAGCGATGGTGATGTGGGAAATAAATGTACCTGAACATGGATGGAGAGAGAAATTTCACATTACTAGCCAACATTAAATACTGTATGTACATGATATCCGTCACGACCGTCAGTCTCAGCAAAGTGTGTGATAGATTTGGATTGTTTGGGAAAAAAAAAACATTCTTGACCACTGGTTGTTTGAGTGTACATTTACTGTACCTATAAATTAGCTGGCTGAGATAGAGCAGTTTTCAATTGTGTGTTGTATAACCAAAATCAAGCCACTAATTTATTGCTTGCCAATTAGATTATTCAGCCAATCTCAAACCGTAGTAAAACCAAAACCAAAGTAACTGCCTGATTACTTTCAACGTTCAGTTGGAAATGGTGATGTAGTGTATATGAATTGTTTATATGGTATCAATATCAAGATGGATTCTGCTCAAAGTTGGATCAATAAGTGCAAAAATCATTTACTAAAATTCACTCATTGCATGGTAACTTTTGGAATACTTTTTAAAACAACTCACTTTAGTTCATTTCTCTAAGTGACCCCAGTGACGATTAAAATTCTCAAGCATGATTTCTCTTGTGAGTTAATCTTAAACCTCGTAAGAATGGTTAAAGTGTGTGTTATTGTGTTTTTAAATAATGTGAAACGTCTGTTTTAATTGAAATATGGCTAACTTCAAGTTCAGTTTTCTCTCGTGGGGTCAGCTTGAGAGCTTAAGTCTTGATAAGTTCTTCTTAGATGTATTCAAAATATTGCCATGCCATGAGGTTTTTCTGGTAACTTAAATTTTGCCATTATTGCTTGTCATGAATGTTCTGTGGAAATCATCTTAAATGTCTTACTCATTTTCAGTAAGTTTAGTTTTTGTCAAACTACATGTATGTAACCTACATGTACATTATAATCAGTTTTCATTGTGGATTATCTGTGTATCTGGAGTACTGAAGGAAGTCAGATTTCTGATTCTCATCAGGCCAAGAACTGTCGTTAAATCAGTCTTGTCTCGTGTCAAATTATTGGTATTTTTGGTATTAATTTTTGTTTAGGAGATGTCCTTCTTTCATTAAACAAACTGGATCTGAATTCCAGCAATGTTCACACAATACTTGCTGCCATCACAGGCCCAATGGAGGTGAGCACATCTTTTGTATACCCCCCAAACTTAGGTATCAGTACTCCCTGGCCAGCAATTGTAAGGTTACCTTATGACAGTTTGTGAGAGAAGTGGTGGCTAATTGTTCACTGCTCTAAACTCTGTATTGAACAGCCTGAATTTGAGTGCTACCTAGGTCATTGTGTTGTGTTTTTTGACAATCCACTTTATTCTCACAGTGCCTCTCTCTGCCCAGGTGTATAAATGGAGGAATAGAATATCCCTACTTGTATATAGATAAATGCCAGCACCTTCAGGGCTCAAAGGCAGAGTTCACCAACCTTAACAAATTTGTCAATACCATTTCATCTCTTGTGTGGATAGAGGTAGCATGAGAGTTTAAGTCATAAAACCTAAAAACACAACAAAATGTCCCTGGGTAGTCCTCAATACTGAGTCAAATGTGCTCTAATCATTACCTGCTACATGTATACAATGCTCCCTGAGTGGGATCAACAGTAATGGTAAAAGTGAATTAAAACTATTGAGCCTTACAGGGTAATTATATTTTTACTTTCAGATTACTCTTACCATACAAAGAGTAATCCAACCCAAATTGGCGTCTGCAGTCATTCGTCAGAATACCCCACCCAAGAATGACAGCCACCTTATAAAGTTAATCAGTGGAGAGGCACCAGCTCCGTCCAAACCAGACCTGAAGAACATTCCTCATGTTGCCTTGTATTTAACCATTACATCCAGCGAGGATGACGACGAACCTGATAAGGTAACTTATCACTACATAGTTTTATGTATCATTTATAAATGAATACCATTTGAAAATAAAGAATCTAAGGAAATAGATTATACCTTGCTACCCTGAAAGATTGAGCAAAAATGTCAGAAAGGAGTAAGGCAGAAGAACTGAGACTTTCAAACCATAATTTACGTTTACATTTGTACATGGCCTTATTAAATAAAATAATTGTTGTGTGGTTTTGTTATTGTGTATTTACTTGCACTTAGGACATCCTGTACCAGTATCCAAAATCAGAGGCAGCAACAAAGTTAGTGGCACTGAGGGGAATGTTCCTGACCTTGAGTGATTTAATGTCATCGGTGACTGGCAGTACAGCAAACAGGTACGTATTTGCAATCAGCTTTTATTAATAATTCTTTTGATGACAAATGTATGCATGGCCAGTAATGATTCAAGCTTATTTTGCATCATTCACAGAACTTGGTTAACAAGTTCAGTAGAAAACCAAGTCTAATTTTAAAGATATGCACAGTTTAATATTAAGGTAAGGTATGATGTTAAAGACATGAGATGTATTTTGGAGTGTTGTTTATTCTGTTTTAGCTCAACGCTGGTGTTGGACAAGAAGCTGGTCCATGTTGTATATTCTAAGCTGGACAGAGATGTGCTGGTCATTGCTATGCCTGCAGAAAGGTATATGTGTATCCAGAATGGTCAGACTTAAGTATATGAAGTATCATAAAGCTAACATGAAATTTGCAGTGTCTAATGGGGTCTTGATGCCTTTTTATTAAGGATGATCACGAGAAGTTAAGGAATTTTGAAGGAATGCTTCTACTCCAAAGTGAGAGACAGTGAGAGGTGGTTGGGTATTCCTGTATATGTTAATTTCACCCCGTGTTAGGGCTATGGTTGTGGCGAAATGTTGCTTGTTTCATGAAAATTACATGTAATTGTAGGTGGTATTGACATTGTGAAGTTGTTGACTAATAATACATGTACTTCTACATGTACTTCTTCATGTACATGTACTTGGATCATGGCAGAGAAGCTTTGAATCTGGTTCAATTTTATAAATAGTTTAATTTACTGTATTTTCATTAGTATTATTTTCCATTTTGTATTTCATGAATGGCACTGCTTAAAGTAAGCATTAGCAATAAACGTGACTAAGTTGTAGTGATAAGACAGTACTATATAGCGTTAATTTCATAAGAACTAGAGTGTTAACATTGACTCTATTTGTACTTACACAATGATACTAAGTGGCCAAAACGTTTTGTTTACATCTTCAACTGATATGTGACTGTGTTTTTACAACCTCTTCTGTCAGAATACCTCTGGTTCAACTTCAGAAGGTAGCTGCTGATATCACTCAAATTCTTTCTCTCACATTTGGAACAATGCATAGGTAAGTTGTATTTCATATGTATTGTAACATGTTTGAGAACAACGACAAATAAAACTTTACGTACATGTATGAATTGTACATTTTATGTACTTTTAATTAGTAAAGTTGTATGTGAAGGTCTGCTAAATCACACACCCAAGCAGACTGATATCTCTTGTCACTAGACTCGTATTGATGGTGATCACCTAATGAAGATTTGATCTTGCCATACAGAAGCATAATAATGTCTCAAACAATGGAGGGTTGTCCGATACAAACAAACAGAGTCAAATGGAATGGCACTCAAACCATTGATATTCCATGGGTGAAATGCATCTCATTATGGGGGCTCAGAATATTTCTGATGGCTTCAGGCTGAGTAGGGTTGCATTCTACTCATCCATTGGTACCAATATTAATGGTAGGGTTGGTATTCCATTGGTGAAATGTATCTCATTGTGGCGGCTTAGAATATTTCTGATGGCTTCAGGCTGAGTAAGGTTGCATTCTACTCATCCATTGGTACCAATGGTACGATTGGTACCAATGAAATAGCACTCAATCCATTGTAAAAGTACTCTCTTTTGGTGTATGGTGTGAAAGCTGTACGCAGTAGATACAATGTACATGTAATTTGACTCTAACTGGATGTTGTTCACACTTTCCCTGACAGGGCATTCTCTGACAAGTTTAACAAAGCACGTGTAGACCATCTTTTCTCTCTACTGTTTGAAAAAGCCCTTGTCAGACCTCCTGGTGCAACTGAAAAAGACTGCATTAATAAGCTGCCAGACCTTTTGCCTGGTGTCCAGTGGCTGAATATACCTTTGACAGCAGAGGTAGAAGCTTTGTCCTGTATATGTACAGTAATCTTTCATAGTGAAAGCAGACAAATAATTTGATGTTACAGTAGTATGTGTTGCAACATTTGCTGCAGCTTCTCCCTTGCCTCCCCCATGCTACATCACAGTGTTCATTGTACATCCACTCCGACCAATGTATTAGTTTTCAACTAATATCTGAAACTCATAGTGGGTTTCTGCCAAAATTTAATATCATTCTACTTTTTTCTGGAAAGGTTCATGTTCACTGCTCTCTCAATGACTTAGAAGCAGCAGATTATGGAGAATTTGTAAGTAAAAATTGATGTCTAAATTAATTTTCATTTGTCATTGAAAGTTTCAAAATTAAGAAGATTGTTGTAGAAAAAATTGCTGGATGACAAGCTTTGCCATCCTTTGCATTTTTCCAACTCGCCAATAGCCCTTTTCACCATTAACTTTCTCATTTGCATTATGTACAATATAATCTAGCATGTATGTAAGGCAATTTCTGGCTATTTTGTAGTTTCAGCCCACTTTGGATCACCTTGTAATGCAAATGAGAAAAACTAACTGTGAAAAAGGCTATTGCCACAAAACTGGCACTCACTTCACTTTTCTTCATAGTCCCCATGGGCTAACGGGCCAGAATAAAATAAAGATAAGTGACCTAAAAATAGGCAGTCTTAGTTACCACTTGCATTATTGGTGTGATTAACTGATAGTGTTATGACAATGAACATGTAAAGGACTCTTTGTTTAAAATAAGTAACATCTGTTGTGGTTGTACCTCTTTTTCACAGGCAGATGAATTTTTTCAAATTAGACGATTATATACAATTTTAGGTTCCAGTATATTTTATAAGGTATGGATATACTGCAGTACTGCACCACATATGTATACATGTATGTACAAATACATATAATATGGTTTGAATATCTTTTGTATAATTTCTTTTCTGTAGTTTAATTCAAGTTAATGTTTTAGCCCCCTAGACAAGTACAGTGTCAACTTGTGTACTTGTGATGTCAGTTCCTGTCATGCAATGTCATTTGAAGTTATGTAATTCCGCATCATGTTGTGTCATGTCATATCACATAATGCCATTGTGATGTCATTTCATGTTGTGATGCATTGTGTCATGTCGTTGTCATATCGTATTGTGTCAAGTCATGTCACATCATGCCTGTTTTGTGTCATGTCAGGTGATGAGATGTGATGTTATGTTTGATTGAGTCCTGTCTTGTCATTTCATGTCACGTTTAATTACATGTATGCCAAGGAGGCGACCAAAATTATAGGCAGTGTGATAAAAACTTATTTCCTTCTACTGTAGCAAGAAAATTGTAGTAAGTCGTGGCATGTTCATGTAAGCTTTATTGTTGTTTAAAGGGTGGGTAGGGCTATCCATTGGATAAATAACTATCCAGTGGATAGTGTTGTATGTTTTACTAACATTTATCCACTGGATAGTGATTTATCCGGTGGATAGCATTACCCGCCCTTTAAATAACTTGCTCCTGCACATGTTCCAACGCGATTATGTCTCACTGACCAGTGATGTTCATTTTCACTATTGCAGGGATATTTAGTGGCCAATCATTTAACAAGGGAAGATTTAGAAGATGCTGTATTATATTGTAAATATCATTGTTTACTGGCCATGAGTGCAGAGCAAAGAGTTGGTCAACTGGTGGTCTGGAGAGAGGTATGCCAAGATTGTTTGCTACTCATTGTAGGCATGTTCAGTCATTTGATTTATGTATTTTATTTTATCCAGTGTTCCCTCAGTATCTGTTGTCAACCGCAAAGTTCTTTCAACTTCTTCAAATCAGTTCATAGCCCAAAGAAAGCCCCTCCCCTGAAGGTCTCAGATGTACAAGGTCCTTTGATAGTAACCTCTCAGCTGACATACATTAAAATTTAATTCAGGACAGCAAAATTTTGAAAACAGTTCTTCTGGTCATAAACTCTCTAGATACTGTACAGCTTTGCTTGCAATTTATATCTACCGTTACAGTGGGTTCAGGGACTTTTGTTGTAATATATCAAACATGAAAGACCAGTGTTTGACCACATTTCCAAACACTGAGAAGAGAGTTGAAAATATGATGTGCAGCAGTGTATTTTTGATGAACTTCCCGGTGTTTGGAAATGTGGTCAAACACCATCTTGAGTGTTTGATATATTTTCTCAATCACAATCAAAACTAAGGAGAAAACGGAGAAATAAAATTGTAAAAATGTATGCTAATGAAGATCAGATATCCACTCACTGTCACGGTCATGATTTCCTTTGTTTAAACTTGATGAGTTATTAATGAGTTTGAGAAGTTTGTTTGACAGCTATGGACTCTCCCTTGTGTTTCATGCCACCTTCAAAGAAATCTATCTCTAGGCAGTTTTATGTGCTTCTACAGAATTTTTCAAACACAAAACGCTCTCCAAATGTGAAATGGAAAAGTAGGCCGTCTTCCTCCTTGCTCAGGGAAGCAAACCCTCGAAAAAGCTTGTAAAAGTAAGGGATTAATTATCAATAGTAGTGTACCTTCACTTCTCTCATATCTTTCACTATCTTGTTTCTAGGTTTTTCCAACAAGAAGACAAAAGTCCAGATCTGAAAGCAGGAGAAAAGAGGACGAGGAATACTATGAACCAACTGCAAGATACTTTTTACTCATTGTAGGCATGGTGAGTCCATATCTTGTTAAGCAGTAACCTATGTTCTTCTTATTCCAAAAAAACTCTCTTCAACTTGGGTTTAAACGCGAAGGAAACTTGCAAACGTTCCTAGTCTCTTGGTGGGAGTGCATTCCAATATCACTGAGAGAAATTTAACAAAATTAAAAGAACTCCATTACCAATACAAGATTATGGGTGGAATTTCTAATATTATACCAGTTAAAATGTAAAAGTTTAGACAAAAAACGCAAAGGTTTGAGACAGCTTTTTGAATACTCTGTTAGCTCACATGCATTTACCAGCTGGAGTAGTAATGAGGTAAAGCCTGGATTGGGCCACGAGGTCCATACTGCCAGAGCTTATCCTGGTTACTGTAGCATAAAGGAACAGGAGTATTTTTACTCCACCCTGGTTGGGATGCTAGTCCATAGCGGAGTTACCCCAGGATTAAATTCACCAGTACTTGTTTCATCACCTGGGTGGAGAGAGCCACTGTAAGAGTAGAGGGTCTTGCCCAAGAACACAAAGCAATGACCCCAGCCAGGGCTTCATTGGAACACTTCATCCGGAGTCCAGGGCGCTAATCATAGCTAACCACCCCTCCCATGGGTTGAATAGTAATGGACGAATATGTTACTTGGATTATTTCCATTTGTGCTTATTTTAGAAACATTGGCTCANCCTTCTTTCATTAAACAAACTGGATCTGAATTCCAGCAATGTTCACACAATACTTGCTGCCATCACAGGCCCAATGGAGGTGAGCACATCTTTTGTATACCCCCCAAACTTAGGTATCAGTACTCCCTGGCCAGCAATTGTAAGGTTACCTTATGACAGTTTGTGAGAGAAGTGGTGGCTAATTGTTCACTGCTCTAAACTCTGTATTGAACAGCCTGAATTTGAGTGCTACCTAGGTCATTGTGTTGTGTTTTTTGACAATCCACTTTATTCTCACAGTGCCTCTCTCTGCCCAGGTGTATAAATGGAGGAATAGAATATCCCTACTTGTATATAGATAAATGCCAGCACCTTCAGGGCTCAAAGGCAGAGTTCACCAACCTTAACAAATTTGTCAATACCATTTCATCTCTTGTGTGGATAGAGGTAGCATGAGAGTTTAAGTCATAAAACCTAAAAACACAACAAAATGTCCCTGGGTAGTCCTCAATACTGAGTCAAATGTGCTCTAATCATTACCTGCTACATGTATACAATGCTCCCTGAGTGGGATCAACAGTAATGGTAAAAGTGAATTAAAACTATTGAGCCTTACAGGGTAATTATATTTTTACTTTCAGATTACTCTTACCATACAAAGAGTAATCCAACCCAAATTGGCGTCTGCAGTCATTCGTCAGAATACCCCACCCAAGAATGACAGCCACCTTATAAAGTTAATCAGTGGAGAGGCACCAGCTCCGTCCAAACCAGACCTGAAGAACATTCCTCATGTTGCCTTGTATTTAACCATTACATCCAGCGAGGATGACGACGAACCTGATAAGGTAACTTATCACTACATAGTTTTATGTATCATTTATAAATGAATACCATTTGAAAATAAAGAATCTAAGGAAATAGATTATACCTTGCTACCCTGAAAGATTGAGCAAAAATGTCAGAAAGGAGTAAGGCAGAAGAACTGAGACTTTCAAACCATAATTTACGTTTACATTTGTACATGGCCTTATTAAATAAAATAATTGTTGTGTGGTTTTGTTATTGTGTATTTACTTGCACTTAGGACATCCTGTACCAGTATCCAAAATCAGAGGCAGCAACAAAGTTAGTGGCACTGAGGGGAATGTTCCTGACCTTGAGTGATTTAATGTCATCGGTGACTGGCAGTACAGCAAACAGGTACGTATTTGCAATCAGCTTTTATTAATAATTCTTTTGATGACAAATGTATGCATGGCCAGTAATGATTCAAGCTTATTTTGCATCATTCACAGAACTTGGTTAACAAGTTCAGTAGAAAACCAAGTCTAATTTTAAAGATATGCACAGTTTAATATTAAGGTAAGGTATGATGTTAAAGACATGAGATGTATTTTGGAGTGTTGTTTATTCTGTTTTAGCTCAACGCTAGTGTTGGACAAGAAGCTGGTCCATGTTGTATATTCTAAGCTGGACAGAGATGTGCTGGTCATTGCTATGCCTGCAGAAAGGTATATGTGTATCCAGAATGGTCAGACTTAAGTATATGAAGTATCATAAAGCTAACATGAAATTTGCAGTGTCTAATGGGGTCTTGATGCCTTTTTATTAAGGATGATCACGAGAAGTTAAGGAATTTTGAAGGAATGCTTCTACTCCAAAGTGAGAGACAGTGAGAGGTGGTTGGGTATTCCTGTATATGTTAATTTCACCCCGTGTTAGGGCTATGGTTGTGGCGAAATGTTGCTTGTTTCATGAAAATTACATGTAATTGTAGGTGGTATTGACATTGTGAAGTTGTTGACTAATAATACATGTACTTCTACATGTACTTCTTCATGTACATGTACTTGGATCATGGCAGAGAAGCTTTGAATCTGGTTCAATTTTATAAATAGTTTAATTTACTGTATTTTCATTAGTATTATTTTCCATTTTGTATTTCATGAATGGCACTGCTTAAAGTAAGCATTAGCAATAAACGTGACTAAGTTGTAGTGATAAGACAGTACTATATAGCGTTAATTTCATAAGAACTAGAGTGTTAACATTGACTCTATTTGTACTTACACAATGATACTAAGTGGCCAAAACGTTTTGTTTACATCTTCAACTGATATGTGACTGTGTTTTTACAACCTCTTCTGTCAGAATACCTCTGGTTCAACTTCAGAAGGTAGCTGCTGATATCACTCAAATTCTTTCTCTCACATTTGGAACAATGCATAGGTAAGTTGTATTTCATATGTATTGTAACATGTTTGAGAACAACGACAAATAAAACTTTACGTACATGTATGAATTGTACATTTTATGTACTTTTAATTAGTAAAGTTGTATGTGAAGGTCTGCTAAATCACACACCCAAGCAGACTGATATCTCTTGTCACTAGACTCGTATTGATGGTGATCACCTAATGAAGATTTGATCTTGCCATACAGAAGCATAATAATGTCTCAAACAATGGAGGGTTGTCCGATACAAACAAACAGAGTCAAATGGAATGGCACTCAAACCATTGATATTCCATGGGTGAAATGCATCTCATTATGGGGGCTCAGAATATTTCTGATGGCTTCAGGCTGAGTAGGGTTGCATTCTACTCATCCATTGGTACCAATATTAATGGTAGGGTTGGTATTCCATTGGTGAAATGTATCTCATTGTGGCGGCTTAGAATATTTCTGATGGCTTCAGGCTGAGTAAGGTTGCATTCTACTCATCCATTGGTACCAATGGTACGATTGGTACCAATGAAATAGCACTCAATCCATTGTAAAAGTACTCTCTTTTGGTGTATGGTGTGAAAGCTGTACGCAGTAGATACAATGTACATGTAATTTGACTCTAACTGGATGTTGTTCACACTTTCCCTGACAGGGCATTCTCTGACAAGTTTAACAAAGCACGTGTAGACCATCTTTTCTCTCTACTGTTTGAAAAAGCCCTTGTCAGACCTCCTGGTGCAACTGAAAAAGACTGCATTAATAAGCTGCCAGACCTTTTGCCTGGTGTCCAGTGGCTGAATATACCTTTGACAGCAGAGGTAGAAGCTTTGTCCTGTATATGTACAGTAATCTTTCATAGTGAAAGCAGACAAATAATTTGATGTTACAGTAGTATGTGTTGCAACATTTGCTGCAGCTTCTCCCTTGCCTCCCCCATGCTACATCACAGTGTTCATTGTACATCCACTCCGACCAATGTATTAGTTTTCAACTAATATCTGAAACTCATAGTGGGTTTCTGCCAAAATTTAATATCATTCTACTTTTTTCTGGAAAGGTTCATGTTCACTGCTCTCTCAATGACTTAGAAGCAGCAGATTATGGAGAATTTGTAAGTAAAAATTGATGTCTAAATTAATTTTCATTTGTCATTGAAAGTTTCAAAATTAAGAAGATTGTTGTAGAAAAAATTGCTGGATGACAAGCTTTGCCATCCTTTGCATTTTTCCAACTCGCCAATAGCCCTTTTCACCATTAACTTTCTCATTTGCATTATGTACAATATAATCTAGCATGTATGTAAGGCAATTTCTGGCTATTTTGTAGTTTCAGCCCACTTTGGATCACCTTGTAATGCAAATGAGAAAAACTAACTGTGAAAAAGGCTATTGCCACAAAACTGGCACTCACTTCACTTTTCTTCATAGTCCCCATGGGCTAACGGGCCAGAATAAAATAAAGATAAGTGACCTAAAAATAGGCAGTCTTAGTTACCACTTGCATTATTGGTGTGATTAACTGATAGTGTTATGACAATGAACATGTAAAGGACTCTTTGTTTAAAATAAGTGACATCTGTTGTGGTTGTACCTCTTTTTCACAGGCAGATGAATTTTTTCAAATTAGACGATTATATACAATTTTAGGTTCCAGTATATTTTATAAGGTATGGATATACTGCAGTACTGCACCACATATGTATACATGTATGTACAAATACATATAATATGGTTTGAATATCTTTTGTATAATTTCTTTTCTGTAGTTTAATTCAAGTTAATGTTTTAGCCCCCTAGACAAGTACAGTGTCAACTTGTGTACTTGTGATGTCAGTTCCTGTCATGCAATGTCATTTGAAGTTATGTAATTCCGCATCATGTTGTGTCATGTCATATCACATAATGCCATTGTGATGTCATTTCATGTTGTGATGCATTGTGTCATGTCGTTGTCATATCGTATTGTGTCAAGTCATGTCACATCATGCCTGTTTTGTGTCATGTCAGGTGATGAGATGTGATGTTATGTTTGATTGAGTCCTGTCTTGTCATTTCATGTCACGTTTAATTACATGTATGCCAAGGAGGCGACCAAAATTATAGGCAGTGTGATAAAAACTTATTTCCTTCTACTGTAGCAAGAAAATTGTAGTAAGTCGTGGCATGTTCATGTAAGCTTTATTGTTGTTTAAAGGGTGGGTAGGGCTATCCATTGGATAAATAACTATCCAGTGGATAGTGTTGTATGTTTTACTAACATTTATCCACTGGATAGTGATTTATCCGGTGGATAGCATTACCCGCCCTTTAAATAACTTGCTCCTGCACATGTTCCAACGCGATTATGTCTCACTGACCAGTGATGTTCATTTTCACTATTGCAGGGATATTTAGTGGCCAATCATTTAACAAGGGAAGATTTAGAAGATGCTGTATTATATTGTAAATATCATTGTTTACTGGCCATGAGTGCAGAGCAAAGAGTTGGTCAACTGGTGGTCTGGAGAGAGGTATGCCAAGATTGTTTGCTACTCATTGTAGGCATGTTCAGTCATTTGATTTATGTATTTTATTTTATCCAGTGTTCCCTCAGTATCTGTTGTCAACCGCAAAGTTCTTTCAACTTCTTCAAATCAGTTCATAGCCCAAAGAAAGCCCCTCCCCTGAAGGTCTCAGATGTACAAGGTCCTTTGATAGTAACCTCTCAGCTGACATACATTAAAATTTAATTCAGGACAGCAAAATTTTGAAAACAGTTCTTCTGGTCATAAACTCTCTAGATACTGTACAGCTTTGCTTGCAATTTATATCTACCGTTACAGTGGGTTCAGGGACTTTTGTTGTAACATATCAAACACGAAAGACCAGTGTTTGACCACATTTCCAAACACCGAGAAGAGAGTTGAAAATATGATGCGCAGCGGTGTATTTTTGATGAACTTCCAGGTGTTTGGAAATGTGGTCAAACACCATCTTGAGTGTTTGATATATCTTCTCAATCAAAATCAAAACTAAGGAGAAAACGGAGAAATAAAATTGTAAAAATGTATGCTAATTAAGATCAGATATCCACACACCGTCGTGGTCATGATTTCCTTTGTTTAAACTTGATGAATTATTAATGAGTTTGAGAAGTTTGTTTGACAGCTATGGACTATGCTATGGACTCTCCCTAGTGTTTCACGCCACCTTCATAGAAATCTATCTCTAGGCAGTTTTATACACTTCTACAGAATTTTTCAAACATAAAATGCTCTCCAAATGTGAAATGGAAAAGTAGGCCTTCTTCCTCCTTGCTCAGGGAAACAAACCCTTGAAAAAGCTTGTAAAAGTAAGGGATAAATTATCAATAGTAGTGTTCCTTCACTTCTCATATCTTTCACTATCTTGTTTCTAGGTTTTTCCATCAAGAAGACAAAAGTCCAGATCTGAAAGTAGGAGGAAAGAGGACGAGGAATACTATGAACCAACTGCAAGATACTTTTTACTCATTGTAGGCATGGTGAGTTCATATCTTGTTAAACAGTAACCTATGTTCTTCTTATTCCAAAAAAGCTCTCTTCAACTTGGGTTTAAACGCGAAGCAAACTTGCAAACGTTCCTAATCTCTTGGTGGGAGTGCATTCCAATATCACTGAGAGAAATTTAACAAAATTAAAAGAACTCCCATTACCAATACAAGATTATGGGTGGAATTTCTATACCAGTTAAAATGTAAAAGTTCAGACAAAAACGCAAAGGTTTGAGAGAGCTTTTGAACAGTCTGTTAGCTCACATGCGTTTACCAGCTAGAGTAGTAAAGAGGTAAAGCCTGGATTGGGCCACGAGGTCCATACTGCCAGAGCTTATCCTGGTTACTGTAGCATAAAGCAACAGGAGTATTTTTACTCCACCCTGGTTGGAATGCTAGTCCATAGCGGAGTTACCCCAGGATTAAATTCACCAATACTTGTTTCATCACCTGGGTAGAGAGAGCCACTGTAAGAGTAGAGTGTCTTGCCCAAGAACACAAAGCAATGACCCCAGCCAGGGGTTTATTGGAACACTTCATCCGGAGTCCAGGGCGCTAATCATAGCTAACCACTCCTCCCACGGATTGAATAGTAATGGACGAATATGTTACTTGGATCATTTCCATTTGTGCTTATTTTAGAAACATTGGCTCATGTGTGTTCTGCTAGAAGCGGGTGGCATCTCGAGNATCTGAGTGATGTTGTCCAATTTTCCAAAGATTTCGCTTGCTGCGAAAAATATTTGAAGGATAATAAACACAATAGCTTCCATTTGGCGTGAAAAGATGCTCGGATATTTGTCCTTGGTCATTATCTGTTCCTGGAAGATCACAGTTTTTTTCGAACTTCACTCTCAAGAAACTGTTCGCTTCTTGGAACATAATGTCTGCGGACAAATATCCAAGCACATTTGCACGCCAAATGGAGGCTATTATTTATTTATACAAAGTTTTTACTTTGATTAACAACTGCATCGCTAAATGGAGGTTGGGTGCCTGAGACATCCAGGAGTTTCCACTATTGGCAGCCAGCTTTTAGATGAAGACCGCTCCCACGAAACCGAGCCATGAGCCCCCACGTGGTAGGGGATACAGGCACCCGTCACACTAAATTAACAGTGGAAAGAGCGGAAGGAAGGGAGGGGGAATGTTTGAAGACGTGCTCCCATGCAAAACAACGCTCACTGCAAACGCTATGGCTGTGAAGGCTGTTAACACGCGTCTCAATCCAGGAGCACATGGAGTCCTGGTGCGTGCATATATCCAAACGCTGCTGACTAGTACGGGAACGCAGGCGCTCTTTGTTGTTAACTCCGTACAATACGCACTTAATGACTGGCCCCAAGGGAAACAGTGAGTTATGTTTCCCCGAGACCCTCAGTGTTCCCCGAGGCGAAGCCGAGTGGAACATCGAGGTCGAGGGGAAACAAAACTCACTGTTTCCCGCGTGACCAGTCATTAAGTGTTTTGTTATACCTCCCAACTCAAAAATAGAAAAAAACTGCGAAGAAATCGTTTACTTGACGCCGGCTGGCTCACAAATATGTCGCGGTTTCAAGGAGCACGACCTGATCACGTGCGATTCGAAAGTTCAAGTTGTTGTTTCACTAGGGAGTTATTGAGTTTTGTTCGCCTAGGGAGTTAGTGAGTTTTGACCTACGACACGTGACACGTTCTCCTTATAACAATTGCATTTAACTGCATTTATTTCTTTTGTTCATTCCCAGCGTTTAAAACGTAGTGACCGTCGAAGCCGATTTACACCTTCTGGAATGCAGGGTGTGTTAGAACATGGCGTGCTATTTTACAGGACTCCCGAGAACGCAGCGGAGCAGAAGAAAGTTCCTTCAGTCCTCAAGTACTGGGTTATAGGGTACGTGGACAAAAAGTGGAATGAATGATCTTTTTCAAATTTTTTTCCTTAGTGATAAGTTTGTTTAGTCTGACTTTGTATTGACATTTTGAAGGGAAGTTCTATTCTGATCACGGCAGAGTTTCCTAGGAGTCTGTGTGGTC